AAAAATGAATTTGTTTCATTTCCAAACCTTATTAGTAATTATTTTTAAACGTTACTTTATAATGTGATACATTGAGGATAATGTTAAATTTACGTTAGGGGAGAGAACAATCCATATTCGTTTTTGTGACCGGCAAATGTTAATGAACTGGCTACTGAGTCTTTTCTAATTTTTTAAAAATTTTCAAACATGGATGAAATTTTTTTTTGGTTTTTTTTGGGTGTGTTACACATTTTTCAAAAAGATATACACTCATTGATCATAGCAAAAGCAAAAGTTGTGAGAAAATTAGAAATTTTTGGTAATCAACCAAAAATGTTGTGTGGAAAAAGTTCATTTGTCAAATTTCGACGAGCAAATCGACTCAGTGGTTGTGTAAAATGTGGTTGATTAATGCATATGAAAGAATTTAATCAATGTTCTGAACCAATTTCAAGTCAAGCATTAGATCGTTTTGATTGGATTAAGTATAGGTGGAGTAAGGATTACTCTGAGACGCCATCTTATTCTAGTCCAATGCTCACAAGATATATGCGATGTGAGATTAATCGGTTCATTGATGTTCTCGACATAGAAGATTCTAATTAAATTGACTATTATCAGGGATGTATAAGTTAGGATGTGTTGTGAATGTATATATGTTAGTTTGATGTATTCTTGTTAGAATAATTAGTGTTTACTAGTTGAATAATGAAAATTTTGAAATTAATTAAATGTTTGTAACTGCAGGTCCATAACTGAAAGCTGGAAAGTAGAAGGAGGCCAAAAGCCAACAACTGAAGACCCTATGCAAATTCCAGAGAATCAGTAGCATCCGGACGATACTGATAGCATCTGGATGGTACTGCCTTAGTCAGTTTTGTAGCTCCCTCTCATCAAAAAATTCGAAAATCAACAACTCTCTTCAGATCTACTTCACCTGCAAGTTTTTCTTCAGTTTTACTCTGATCAAACACTTACACATCATATTTTACAGGTTTTTACCGATTGAACCTTCTGAAATCCCTATTGATCAAGAAAATCAAGAATTATCCTCATGGATCCTAGGAGAAAATCAAGAGCTCAAAGGGGTGATTCTTCTTCTAGTCGAACAAGGAGAAGAGCCTCTCCACCACCCCCAGTAGTGCCACAGGAGGAAGAACAACCCCAGGTTCAAAATCAGTTCAATAATATTATGTTTGAGAATATCGAGCAGCAAATTTGGTATGATACTCACTTTTTATCTAAGACTATAATTTCTGAATGGCCTATGATATATTAGGATTTTGAACACATTGGGGTTAGGAAAAATTTAGCAGCACGGGGTTGGTTAAATTATGTGAAGCTTGTGGGCCTTGCTTATGAATATTTAGTCCAAGAATTCTACAATAATGCACAAGAAACTGGGTCAAGGGAATTGTGTGTGTATGTTAGGGGAATTGCATTTCTAGTTACACCATCTACAATTGCAAGTTATTTGAATCCTATACCAAGACATCAGTATCCCCAATATCCTCTTACTACATTGCCTAATATGTCTACCATTGGGATTGAGTTGACTGGGAATCCGAATTATGTCTAAGGTAGGCCAAATAAGTATATTAAGAAGATTTGACTAAAAAATATCAAATTCTGAATTTGAATTGTAAACAATTTGCTGCCCCAATCTCAAAAAAATCAAATCTACACTGAAAGAGCTTATTTTATGCATTCTTTTGGAATGGAATACACCATTGACCTGCCGACACTGATAATGGATCAAATGATGTTGACTGTTAAAAACAAAAAGCCCTCACTTCCATTTTGTTGTTTTAGTATCTAAATTATGTAGATTGAAAGGAATTATAGTAGTTTCATCATAGCCTCTAGTGAAGCATTTGGCTTCCTTGGATAAAACTTCATTGAAAAAGAGCCATGGAGTTCAAGCAGAGGCTCAACAAGAAGTGCCACTAAAACCACAAGTAGACCCATTTCTAGAAGGAGCACATTTCAACCACCAGAAGATCCGCAACCCTATATTCCAGTGGATTATCGGACTGACAGACAGATTTTTTTAGGTTTGGAGACCAAGATAGCTCAGTTTGATCAGAGGATGACTAAGAATGAGGAGAACCAAAACGAGATTCAAGGCTGCTTGGAAGAAAAAACGATGGTGGCCCATAATCATCAGCCTAGCCATCCAAATTTTCTGCATCTTTTACTCTCTCTTTACTTATATCAAACTCTTTATATACACTTTAGATTATGCACTTGGTTTTAAGTACTTTTGGATGTTTTTTATGTTTGAATTATGGTTTTATTAAATTAATTTCGTTAGTTTGTGTTACTTCACATAAATTTTGTGTTGTTAAGATAATTAGTTTGTATTATTCACGGTAAAATTATATTTTTATTTTGTTGATTTGCAGGTATAACCCTAGTCAATCACGGGGGATATTCATACACTATTTGTGCATTATCATTATATTTTCATAGAAAACTCATTATTTTGAGCACGTACTAATTTATTATTTTGAAAAGCCTTTTGAAATTTTATGATCCTTTATGAAGCCTACATATATAGTGGAGATGTGAAACCCTTATACAAATTTTGAGTCAATCTTCCTTGGAGAGATTTTAACAATTACTCAAGTAAGAATTTCAGTTCAGTGGAAAATTTCTTTGAATAATCTCATTAATCTTACATTGATTAGCACTCATTGAATGACATGATTAACATTCTCCTTTAAATCTTTATGAGAATCATGCAGGTGTACGAGTTCTAGAAAATGATCTTAGTTCATTTGTGATTTTATTTTGAGCCTTAGTCATTTCCTTTGCAAAACTATATCCCTAACAAGTTGTGATTGAGCCTAAGTAAAATTTATTTTCTTAAACCTATAAGTTAACCAAGCCAATGCAAATATATTTGTCCAACCCTTGCTATCTAATTTTCTTGCACCCTCTCTTGAAAAAGTCATTATACAAGAAAAGAGAAAAAATAGAGAAATATGGTTGGAAAAAAAAAAAGGAAAAGAATTTATGAAAGAAACAAAGAAAGAAAGATATAGAAAAGAAAAAAAAAGTATGCAAGAAATTACAAACCTGAGATTGAAAATGAAGAATGGGAAGTATGATGTTGTTTTGTAAGAGCCTTGAAAGTTAAAGATGGGTGTGTGCTACACAAATTGAAAAAGATTGCTTTTGAATCCCTTAAATGTCGTTTCTTAAACCCAATACCCTTAACCACATTATAACCCTAATAAAGTTCTTTTTTATTCCAAAAGTCATGCATGTGTATCATTTTTACCCATTGAATAAAATGGAGTGTTGATAATGTGAGGCAGTTATTTCTATTTAGAGATCTACATTGAATTTTCACTGGTCATCATTTTTCTGTGTTTTTTTAGCAACTTTTTTTTTGTCAAAATCTTATTGTATTCCATGAATTCTGATCAATTCCAGTGTCCAATTCCTCCAAAACCACTAGATATCACAAAAAAATTTGCCTCCTTATTCTTCGAATTTCTTGAAATTGTTAAACAATCCTGTTGGGATTGTGAATGGCTGTTTGTCTTCTACGAATCTGTCTTGTTATGAGAAAACCAAATCTATGCCTATTAATCTCCTTTCGATTGCCCAAATATCCTCGAGTTCTTAGATCCCCTCAAATTCTTCCCAGATCCCTTTGATTTCTCTAATCCCTTCGATCGTTCAAGTCCCTTCTATGGATAGGGCTCCTTTGTTTGGTAGTGAGCCAATGCCTTTGTCTAATGATTCTGTGAGTATAATCTCTTTTGTGTCTATTCATAAGCCATCAAAGAGGGTGGTTTACAACAATGGGGAACTAGGAATGTGCTGGACTCTAGATGAGACCCAAGAGCTGTCAAGAGGGTTTCATCAAACTCTGATAGGCAAGTGTGCCTATGGCAAACCATCCTTAGGCGTTATTTAGGATTTCATTACATCTAGATGGTTGCCAAAAGGAGATTTCTCTATGGGTATTCTGGATCTGAGGCATGAAGTGATAAGGTTTATTCTGTATGAGGATTACTTGAAAAATTGGCCTAAGGATGCCACTTATATCGAAGGTTTCTTGTTTCGATTCTCTATGATTTCCAAAATTTCATACATGGATTGAACCACCTGTTGTTCCTATTTGGGTGTTATTTCCTGGATTAGCTATTCATCTCTTTAATAGGGAGAGTTTGTGTGATATTCTGAACCTTATAGGATGGATCCTGGTGATAGACAATCCCACTTTATAGCTGACCAGACCTGGAGTGGCTACGACATTTGTGGAAATGAATCTCTTTGCGAATAATCCTAAGCGATTTTGGCTAGATATAGGGGTGTAAGTGGAAGGTGTCAAATGATTTGTTATGAGAAAGAATACAAGTACTATTCATTTTTGTCTTAAGCAGGGTCATGATGATTATATTTGAAGGAAATAGAAGAAGGAGGATGAGGTTATGAGTTCTAAGAAGGTGGTTGTTTCTATGAATGACAATAGTCATGATGATGGGTGGAAGAATGGGAAGGGAAAAGCTATTGTTCTTGATTGATGCGAATAAGGTTCAGGTGTAGAGTTTGGGAGTAGGTGATTGTTCTAAGAAAGGGCAGTGTAGTTTGCAAAACCCCATATGTGTAACTAAAGGGGTTTTTCAGGTTAATAATGTTGGTCCAGATTTGGGAGGCACAAAGGAGTCTATTACTGAGAATGGTATGAATTTGAAGGGGTTGAATTCTATGGAGAGGGATATGGTCCCTTCTAAGGGTGCTGGGAGGAGGCAAATATGGATGTGAATGTTGATGGCAAAAGTTCTACTAAAAAGGCTAATCAAATGCATGATGTGGCAGGTGTGCAATTTATCTTGAATTCTCTTCATGTGCTTGATAGGGGAGTAAGGTATCGCAGTAGATTCTGGGTTGTTATGGTTAGGGAATTCAGGTGTGTGAATCCAGTTCTCGAATATCAAAGAAGATACGAAGGGAGTTGATAGATTCTAGGGGAAAGGAGATGATATAGAAAACTTGGGGTGTTGTGCTCTTAAGAAGCAGGGTATTTCTTCTTGTGATTCCTCATTTTATATTGATCATCAGTTTTCCCTTAGAATAGGGTCTGGGATATTATTAGATGATGAGTCTGGGTTAGTAAGGAGAACAGAACCCCCTGACAAAGAATATTTTTCTGATAGGGGTAGTTACAAGAGTGTGGATGTAAGTGTGGGTAATGATGTGGTGCATAGAAGGGTGAATTCTAAAGACTCAGCCTATAGCCTTCAAATATGGATTCTTTAGAGGCTTCTACTAGACAGTGGTCTAGAGGTAATATGTCTTATCAAGTCTTATAATTAATTTTTTTATCTTGGAATATTAGAGGAGTAGGTAAGGCTGCTCCAAGAAGAAGATTGAAAAAAATTGGTGAAAATGAATGATGTATGTATGGTAGCTATTCAGGAACCAAAATTAGAGGTGGGAAAGTTGTCTACTTTGGCTTCTAGTTTGGGTTTAGCTCAGTTTGTGTTTAACAATCTAGCAGAAAAACGAATTTGGTTGTTATAGGATGATAGGGTAAAGGTGAAGGTTTTATTTCATTTTGAGCAAGCTTTAATTGTCGAGGTGTCTTATTTGGGGTCAGATGTGGTTTATATGTCTGTCATATATGCATGTTGTGATCATTGTTTGAGAAGGCTATTGTAGCAGCATCTTTTGAGTCTCCCAATTCCAGCTAACTTCCCATGGATGGTAATTGGGGATTTAAACTCTATCCTAAATTCAAAGGAAAGATTGGGTGATGCATTTCCTTCTATGGCTGCTATGGAGGAATTTGGAGATTTTATTAATGATGTAGGGTCAATTGATCGAGGTCTTTCTGGAAGTAAGTATACCTGGTGTAATAATCATCAACGTAAACCAAGGATGTACAAAGGATTGATAAAGTTCTGATCAATCTAAACTTATTTCGTTCTTTTTTTTTTAAAAGAGGTGTATGTAGCATCGGGTGAGTATAGAAAGGGTGGACTTAAAAGTTTGATAATGAGAAATTAAATGGGTGGGAATAACCCCACACTTTAAGTTTAAGTAAGAATTTATACTTTATACTCGACAGTCAAATGTAGCTCAATTCGAGTCTTAATCACAATTATGTCAAATCGAGAATTGAATTTAAGTTTGACTCAATTAACACTACTATCTTAAACCTACATACTAATTCTTATTTATTCCTGTTCATAGTGATGTCATAACTTCTTTTTTTTTTAATTTGGTTATTCTTTATTACTTTTACAATCATTTTCAATTTGATTTCAACGTGAATACTCGTAAAATTCAAGCAAAGTTAAGTTTAAGTAAGAATATATATTTTATACTCAACAATTAAATTCAACTCAATTCAAATGCTAATCATAATTACTTCAAACCGATAATCAAGTAAAATGAAATTTAGAAGAATTTCGATCATTTGATGAATAATCTTAAAACAATTTGAGCCGCAAAATGTTCAAGACAAATAATGCTAGCTTCCTTAGTATATAAATATATCACATTACATATATATTATTTGCCTATTATACTATTCGAATATTATAGTATTTTTATTTCAATACAAAATATAACCTATATTATAGTCATTCGACTCGTTTTGACCCAAAGAATCTGCATTTAAGGTCCATTTGTTTATTTAAAATCTTTAAAAGTAATCTTTAATTAGAATCATAATTAACAACCTAATTAATGTGTAGTATGAGATAGAGAGAGATAGAAGTCTTATAATTGTGGAAAGAATGAAAGTTTTGCTCAAAACATTGGGGGGGGAGGAAATTTCGTATTAGGACCGTCGGATCAATATGTTTTCAAGCAATCTGAGCCGCAAAAAGTTAAAGACAAAGAAATCTAACTACTTTATTATATAGATTTTTTTAGTTCACAGTTTGTGAAAATTTGGTTATATTAAAGTTCACTGTTTGTGAAAATTGTGAACTAGGTGTTTTATTCTATTAAAATTCAATGTTTATATATTTTTTTCAATATTGTTTTAGTTCACTAGTTTTTTATTGTTTTGAATGGTGAGTTTCGGGTGGTGGTGGTTGGTGGCGATAGTAGCAATTGTGGGTGGTGACGACAGCGATGGTGGTTGTTCACTGTGTTTAATTCACTATTTGATTTCATTATTTTTTAGTTCTCTTTATTTGAATTCATAGTGAACTAGGTGTCTCATTTTAAAGTTCACTATATATGACAATTTTGGGAACTATGAATTTCATTGTTAAAGTTCTTTGTTTTTTAAGTTCTTAAGTTCATTGTTTATGTTTTTTCAATATTTTTGAGTTTTTTATTTTTTATATATGTTTTTTAATTCAAATTTTTAATATTTTTGTAGTTCACTATTTGAGAAAAAATTTGACAGTGGAGTAGCAATTTCATTATATTAAATTTCACTATTTGTGATAGTTTTGTTAAGTAAATGTTTCATTATATTAAATTTCACTTTTTTATGAAAATTTTGTAAATTAAGAGTTTCAAAGTTCACTGGTTATGTTTTTTCCATTAGTTTTTCACTATTTTGGGGGTGAGTGGTGGTAGATGGTGGCAATGGTGACAATGGGTGGTGGTGAATTTGAATAGGACTATTTTTTATTGTTTTCATTGAATTTGGGTTAGTATGTTGTGGTCAATTGTTTTTGAGTTTAATAATTTTTTATTATTTTTGAGTTCACAATTTTTGAAATCAGTAATTTTTCACTGTTTTTGAGTTCAGTAATTTTTTACTATTTTTTAGTTCAGTCATTTTTTATTTTTTTAGTTCACTATTATTCACTATTTTTAATTCACTAATTTTTATTATTTTTTAATTTGACTAGTTTTTTACTATTTTAAATGGTGGATGGTGGTGGTGTCAATGGTGGGTGATTGTCTAGTTTTTCATTATTTTTTTGTGGTGGGTTGGTGGTGGTGGACTAGTTTTTCACTATTTTGGGTGGTGGGTGGTGGTGATGTTGGTGGTGGTGGTGGGTTAGCGGCAATGTTGGGTAGTGGGTTAGTTTTTTACTGTTTTGGTTCATAGGTGAAGGTGGTTGGCGGCGATGTTGGGTGGTGGGTTAGTTTTTTACTATTTTGTGTGGTGGGTTAGTTTTTTACTATTTTGTGTGGTGGGTTAATTTTTTACTATTTTTGGTGGTGGATGGAGGTGGTTGGCTGCGATGGTGGATGGTGGATGGTGGGGTGAGATTTTTACAGTTGTTGGGCGGTTGTTAGTTTTTTTATTATTTTGGGTAGTGAGTGGTAGTGGTTGGTAACAATGGTGGGTGGTGGTGGCAACAATAGCTGGTGGATAGTGGTTAGTTTTTGGGTAATAGTGGAAAGCGATGATGGTAGGTAGTGGGTGGTGGTAGGCTAGTTTTTCACTATTTTGGATGGTGGGTGGTGTTGGTTGGCAGCGATGGTGGGTGGTTGTGATTGAAAACGATAATGGGTTGTGGTGATTGGTGGTGCTAGGTGTTGGGTGTGGGTGGGCAGGTGGGTAGTGATGGTGGGTGACAAATGGTGGTGGTGGTGGTGGTTGCGGGTAGTGATAGTGCTGGTTGGCAACAATAGTGGGTAATGGTGTGCTAATTTTTCACTATTTTGGGTGGTGAGTGGTGGTTGTTGGCGGCGATGGTGGGTGATGGTGGTTTATAGTGATAGTTGTGGCATGTACTGGGTCTTAGTCGGTGGGGTGGTGGGTGGTGCTTAATGGCGATCGGTGGCGGGTGGCAGGTGGCGGTTGGTGATGGTAACGGGTGGGGGTTGGATGGTGTCGGTGGTGGCAATGGGTGGCGAGTAGTGGTTGGTGGACAACAATAGGTGGTGATAGTGGTGGTTTTTGATAGTGATGGGATAGTTTTTCACTGTTTTGGGTGGTAGATGATGATGGTTGGCGGTGATAATGGATAATGGTGGTGGTGATTTATGGCGATGGTGAGTGATGATGGTTGTGGGTGGTGGTTGATGGATGGCAACGGGTGGTGGCAATGGTGGATAGTGGTGGTGGTTTGTGGTGATGGTGGGTGATGGTGGTGACGGGTGGTGGGTGTTAGTTGGTAGGGCTTGTGTGTGGTTGTTAGTGGCGATGGTTGGTTGTGGTGGTTGGCGACGGGTGATGGTGGTGGCTAGTGGCAATGGGTGATGGTGGCGGTGACGACGATGGTTTTGGTGGGTAATGGTTAGCGGGTGACGTGGGTGGCAGGTGGTGGACGATAGTGGGTGGTGAGTGGTTGGTAGCGATGGTGGGTGGTGGTGGTTTATGGCTATGGTGGGGTGATGGTGGTGGCAAGTGGTGGTGAGGGTTGTGGGTGGTGGTTAGTGGCGATAGGTAGTGGTGGTGGCTGCGGTGTATGGTGGTAATTGGCGGTGGGTGGTGGTGGTAGTTTATGACGATGGTGGGTGATGGTGGTAACAGGTGGTGGGTATTACTGGGTGGGTGTGATGGTTGGTGGTTAATGGTGATGGGTGGTGGTGGGTTGAGAAGTCATTCAATTTCGGGGTTCTAAAACCCGAAACTAGGTTCAACCTAAACTCTTAAACCCAAGTATTGCCCACAATAAGATTTTTGAACTCAAATTAGAAAGAAGCTACATAGCTCAACCTGCAATTCGAGTTCACTACAACAAAATAAAGTCAAGGTGGAATAGGAAAAACCTAAGTTGTGTTGTAAATTCTATTAATTTGGATGACTACTATACATAAATAGTAACAAATAGTATTTAGACAGGAGTATACAATGCACAAATAGTAACCACATTTAATGGTATGGAAGTCCTCCATCTTTCTATCGACAATGCAAGAGGACTATTATGTGTTTTGCCTATATATAGGCCTTGCACTTTTGAATGAAATACACACCACATGATATATATCTTTCCATTCCTCTATAACTTTTAGTAATGCTTTTCTATCTCTTAATTTGTTTCAGTTAGTTATTTGCACCTACATAAATTTGCTTGTTTTACAATACGTTATCAACACGAGAGCTAGCCAACTAAGTCATCATTGAATAATTTTCTATACCCAAAAGATAAACTCAAGTATATAAATTAATCAGTTTTAATGTAAGACCATACATGTTATGAGAAAACATGATATGGGTGTGTTGATTTTAAAATTGCTATTATAATTTAATTAGTGTCTGAAGCATATAATTGTATACCTATAGTATACAAAGAGTTTTATACAAATTATGTTCCTGAAGAGCATAACAGAAAAAAATCTAAGTACCTGAAGTACATAGAAATATTATTATGCTAGAAAAAGGCATACATATTACAGACGTAAAGTTTGTAAATTACAATATAAATAACAAACTTGAAATTTGTAGATTATTGTAATAATAGAATACCATAATTTAATTTATAGAGCCTGAAGTTAATAAATTATTAACTTGTACCAACGGCACTTCAGATATTAATTGATGCCTGCATCA